GGAGCCGTGGCCGCGGGCAGCCGGGCGGGGGGGTCGCGGCCGTCACTGAGCCGGTGGGCGCTGGCCCCCTGCCCACCCTCCTGGGAGCGTCGGCTCCGAGCTCTGTTCTTTGCGGGCGCGCAGGGCCTTCGCCGCTGCAGCCCCGAGGGGGAGGCAGGCCGGTCCTGCGTATGGAGTGAGCCGTCAGGTCACGGGGGCATGCAAGCTCCTCTTGCAAGCTGCCTTCCTAGGGTCTGCTCAGTTGGGGTCTAGTCTCCAGGTGAAAGCTTACTATTTGTGTTTGGGGAATAGAGGGCGCATGTTGTTGGTTTGCTTTTTGTTTGTTTGTTTTTTAAATCATTGGCCAGGGTACGGTATAAGCAAGCGTTAGGTCAGGAAACAAAATACCAAGGACTCTGGGTCCTGCTCTGGGATGGACTGGCTCTGTGACTCTGGTCAGTCTTCGCAACTTCCCCAGGCTTGTTTTCTCACACGTAAAATGAGGAAGGTAAGCCAGCAGTTCCTTCCGGTTCTAACATTTTTACAACCTGTGACGTTTTTCTTTATCCAAGTTGCAGTCGCAGTCCCAGGAACTCACCCTGCAAGTTCATCTCTTGCATCAAGCGGACATACTCAGCATGTGAATCTAGGCTAGAAGGGAATGTTTGAAGCACCTTTACCAGCTCACTGAAGAGCAGAGGTGTAGCCCCCTGCGGCTTAGACTCAGGGCTGACACCCAAATGCCAGGACCCTTGAGCTGAGGTCTGCCTCCTGCACTGTCACTGTTGGTTGCTCATCATTTTTTGTGTTGTTATTATAAGCAGGCAGCATAAGAGGCCGGGGCCGAGGTGCGGCTGGCAACAGAGCCCCAGGGCCCAGGGGTTCCTACCTCGGGGGATATTCTGCCGGCCGTGGTATATATAGCCGATATCATGAAGGGAAAGGAAAGCAGCAAGAAAAAGGATTTGAACTTGTACCGAATTTGGAAATCTCTGCTGTCAATCCAGTTGCCATTAAACCTGGTACAGGTCAGTATAAACCAGAGCAAAAATGCATCCATTCAGCCTAAACCCCAGCCCTCTCTTTGAAGTAACCCCAAGCCTACCTCAGGCTCTTGCACATGGGTTTCTCTTCTTGTAGGCAGCCAGGAATTAGGCAAAGACTGTGGCCTCCTGGCTGTTCTTAATCTGGAACTTAAGAGGATAGTTTAGTTTTGACCATATTCAAGTCAAACTTCCCAATAGTGGATTTTTCAAATGTGTGTCACCGGTTGTTAGGCTTTTTCTTGCTCTATGACTGACTGACTATGTAGTTTTGGGGGGGTAGGGGGATGAAAGAATATGAGGCTCTTTTGTATCTTCTATCAGCTAAAAACTGTCTTTTCCTTACTCAAGCAGATTTCTACTCCAGCCATCAGAAGCCAGAGGGTGCAGTTTATTGCCATTCTGAAAGTTGTAGAAAATTCCCCTTCTGGAACAATTAGCACTACTTGTCCCTTGTCATGGACTTAACCAACCAGGACCACCTGGGAACAAGGGAACAGTGCAGCTACTGATTGCCTGGATTCCAAATCCCAGCACTCGTTTCCTCCTCTTGGGGCTAGGGGTGCTCAAGTGATTCAATCTGGGGACCTTGTACTTTGCTTTCACCGCCAGGTCTCACAAACCAGGTTGCCAATGTTTTTAGTGCCCGTTGGTAAGACAGGTCTTCTTTCTGACCCTGACCTGCAAGGAACTTAACTCCACTGTTGAGCACAGCACAACTCCATATTAGCATATACCATGGAAAACCCAGTTGTAGATAATCAGAGTGCCCCTCCTCCTGACCTCTTCCTGGTTTAATTGAGGGTAAATTGAAGAGCTCTCTGTGAAAGACCCCTCACTTTGAAGTTCAACTACTCTGATTTTCTTTTGGCTGATGATTGTATGCTCCTTCTAGCTAACAGTCAAGAACTGCATATATGGGGCATAGGTTTACATAGGCCACATAGGGCTTAAAAGCATTTTCCCAGTAGAGCTTCCTTTTGAATTAATTCAGTGATTTGGGTTTTTGTTTTGTGTGTATGTGTTTGTCTAAGCCTGTGAAAAATTCCTGCAATTAAGTAACTCCTTCGACTGGATTTCCTTATAAATGCCACTGGTGTTATAAGCATTGTAAAACTGATCCCATATCTTTCTGTAATTCCATAAAACAGAGCCTGGAGACAGGAGTTGTCACTTCTACTTGTTGGAAAAGGGACTCCTTGGCAAGTTGCAGTAGCTTCGGATTTAACTAGAGAAATGTGCATAGTTGTGTCCTGGGGCCCAAGGTAGAAGTTCCTACGGGCTGATTACCAAAACAATCCAGAGTTGCTTAGCACAACCCCACTGTAGCTGAAACTCACAACCCTCTCTGGGCCCCTTCCCCTTTGCGTCTATTTCTGTTTGACCCAGAAAATTAGAAACTTCTCATTTTAGGAGAACCACCAATGCAGTGGTGAAGTGTCTGGGCACAAGACCATGTGGTTGGAAAGGCCGGTAAAAGATTTGGTTAAAGTTTTAGGTAGATTATTGAATGACGATGCCACTGTTTAGCCTACAGTCAAATTTGTCTCTTTACCTTATATCAAGTCAGCTTTTATTAGAATAAATGTACCTACAGTTGGAGAAAAACCAAACACCATAAATGAAAGGATATTTCATATATGTGTTTCATATTCTTGTTCATCCTCTCGACATACACACACCACCCACACTCTCGTACAACCCCCCCCAAATCAGGGCCAGTATTTTTTTTCTTTTTACCTCCCTGTATCATACACTGACATTCAATAACTCCCATCTGTTTGAATCTCTGGTTGAAATGAGTTTGGACTTTACTCACAGAAATACCTCTTTGAATTGGCAGGTCTCATAAAAAAACTCAGCCCCTGTTGCTTCGCTATTATGAGCGGATATTAGAAAATTAGGGACTTTTTCATTTTTTATTGTATATTTTTCCTTGAATCAGTACTGTTGAAATCTGATACACAGGGTGGGGAAGATATACACAGCCCTCTGAGTTCTCAGAATGAAACCCTCAGCAGCACCTGCTTTGTGTACCGGGTGAAAGTGAAAAGGCAGCAGGTCTGTCTGGTGATGGGAGAGGTGGGTGAGAAGGGGAGCCTGCTCTCACACTTGTCTGGCCTCAAGCCTCGATCTCACTTCTTATTCTGAGCCTGTTTTCTGAGTGAGAAGGCCCTTTAGCTCTGTAATACATCAAGAGAAAGATTCAAAATGAGATTTTTCTGTAGAGGCCGTAGGTGCAGAAACCTACCTCTAGACTTTCCTTCCATGATGATCTGTGGGGAGCCTCCCTCCGTGCCCGTGTGGTTCCTTTTGAAAGACCAGCTGGGGGAGTACCTGCCACCTCCCCTTTTTCCTCTTGAGTAGCACCTCACCTGTACTGAGAAGCGTAAGTCAGGGAGAAGCCCATGGCAGCCAAACTGGGTTTTTAAAAATATCAAGAAAGTGATGGACCTGTGTTTCCCTCTTACGTCTCTTGCAGTGGCCATCCCTGCCATTGGGGCCCAGTATTCCATGTTTCAGGCAGCTCCTGCTCCCAAAATGATCGAAGATGGCAAACTCCACGCAATGGAGCACATGCTCAGCCCCATCGCGGTGCCGCCAGACCCAGCCAGCGCGGCGGCCGCCGCCGTCATTCCCGCAGTGTCCACGCCGCCTCCTTTCCAGGTGGGTTCCTGCCGCCCTCGTTGTAACTGATGCGTAAGGCCTCGCTTTCCATGGATTCATTTACTCCTCGCAGGAGAATTCATTGTGTGCCTAGCTCTCTGTTAGAACTGTGGAGTCGGGTGACAGAAAAAGATTTTAATATAAATCATGACCGAACAGGACAGTTTTAAGTAAAATAATAATTGTACTACCCTAATATCACCACTGTGTTAAAGATGGGAAGCAATATGCCAAAATGACACGTTTCATTTCTCAGTGTCATAATATTGTGCTTGCTTTTTTTATGACACTGGATAATTTTTAACCCATGCTCTTCTTTAGTTAAAGTGCAGATGTCTGGGAGGCAGTTCCCATTTGCACATTCCAAATTGCAGTTCAGTGAAGAACTTTTAAAAAAAATCTCTCTGTATGAATATACACATGTATATATATAAGCATGTGTGTACATAGAGAAATATCTGTAGAGACAGAGATATGTAAAACTGTATAAAATCTGCCCTTAATCATCTCCTCCAACTGTATCCAGCTATTCCTGTATCTCTCCCAACCCAGTGTCACCATTCCAGCTGCCTTCCCCACCTTTGTTCATGGTGGTGTCTTATGTGTGGCTTCCTCCATCTCATCTCTTCTGTAGAATCTTCTCCATCTACCTAGCCTTGGAAATCTCATGACCTACATCATTACTTGGCATATGATTACCAATATGTTCTCCCTCCCCAGGTAGAATGAAGCTTCTCCACGCCGAAAGCTCCATCTTATATTTCCTTGTACCTTCAGTGCTTAGGACACAGGGAGTACCTATAAGTGAAAGTCGTTTATCCAAAAAGACACAAAATTTTGTTAAAGCCATTCTTTGTGAGGCAGTGCATCTCAAATGCCTTCTCAGCCAACAAGCACAAATACTCAGACCTGGGGGCTCCTATCTAATTGGATAAGAATTATCCAGGGAACAGAGATTCTTTAGACTCAAACCTCAGAGGATCCCAGTCATAGAACTGAGCTGGGGTTCTAGAATCCATATTTTGTACAAGCTGCTCTGTGATGCTGAAACTGAGCCAGGCTTGTGAACCTCTGCAGTGGGATGCTGTTTACTTTCATTTGCCTACTCGAGCACCAGTCTTTTTTATTTTATTTATTTTTCCATTGCTTTTTCAGAGAGAGAGAGGGAGAGAGAGAGACATCGATGTGTGAGACAGACACATCAATTGGTTGCCTCCCACACACGCCTCAACTGGGGTTGGGGATCAAGCCTGCAACCGAGGTTATGTGCCCCTCGCCAGAATCAAACCTGGGACCCTTCAGTCCATAGGCCGATGCTCCAACCACTGAGCCAAACCGGCTAGGGCTTGAGCACCAGTCTTGACTGCATATTTCAGAAAAATCGAAGTTTATTCATCTATCAGTATGTCATCAAGTATTCTCTAACTTAGGACTTCCTGCAGCCAAAAAAGGGAATAGGTTGTAATTGATTCACACTGTAGAATGACAGCTAAGTGTCCTTACTTCTTGTGGGATGCAAATATCTACAGTAACTTACAAGCAATATGTGGTGGAATTCTGGTAATAATATCTAATTCCTCTTTATTGAGAAACTCGTGAACTTCTTCCTTTGGCATGTAGTGTCAGTTCTGGTCAGGCCCAGATTCCAGGCCTCGCACTCATGTTGAATAGCAGACTGTTGCTATCTTTTGTCAGTCTGCACTGGATGTCAACTTCAGCTTCTTTATTTGAAGTCTTTGCATAAGAATTTGCTCAATGTACAGTCATCAGTTGATATCTTTGGAGATTATTCCCTCAATATATTCTGCAGAATGCCTGGTGCCACTTTCTTTTTAACCTGGGAATGGCTTCTCTGAGCGTGTTTGACCTTGGTGCTGTCCGTCAAATCTCCATGCTCTGTGTCCTGCCTCTCAGGCCTTTGACCTGGGTTCCCTGCCGTGTTCAGTCCCCCACCCCCTCTGTGTTCTCTGCCAAACTGCAGCAGAGGAAGGAGCTTTTTAAGCATTGCTGGTTGGTGAGTAGAACACATTTCTGAGTGCAAATGAGTTCCCAGCACGGCTTCCAGAACCTTCCTGTGGAACACCTTCAGTCATCCTCTGTCTTCCAGTGTCATTTTATATCCAGAATTTCATATAACCTTAATAAGGAATGCAAAAAAAATGTTTGCTGGTATAGACAGTCACTTTTTCATATTGATGTCTCAGTGTTCTCAATCTTTACAACAAATCTGTGGTTTAGGTAGAGCAAGTGTAACCATTCTTCCTTGAGAGGAGAGAAAGCTGAGGTCTGTTTTCTCTCCCTCCCCGAGTTCCCCACATTCAGCCCCGCCCTATCTCACACACCTGATCCCCAGGTGTTGGGCTGGACTGGAGCATATGGAAAAGTTTCTCTCTGATGTCGCTTTCCCTGCAGTTACCTCCCTTTGTGCATTTGTCATTAAGTGTATGTCCACTCATTTGGAAAAGATTGCTGTATCTTGCTATGAACCACAGTCTCCCCTGTTCGAAAGTTTCTCTCCCAGGGTTGTAAACCATCGCCAATGAGATACTCGTTGTCATAGGTTACAGGAGGCAAGATAAAAATATAGGTTTTTAAAGTGCAGGCTCCAGAGTCGCAGCGCCGCTGCTCAAAAGCTGTTCCACCCTGTGCAAGTCACTTAGCACATCCAAACCTCTCCATGTAATCACAGTTCCATCTTCATTAGTGTCCATAATTTCATACAAATAAGGCACTTAGAATAGTGTCTGGCCCACCATAATCTCTCAATTATTATTATCATTAGTATAATTATTATTTTGGTTACAGTTGAAAAAAATGACTCTTAGATTATGAAGTTCCTTTGAACATTTTGTCACTGATCTGCAGATTTTGTAAAGGAATGATAACTTATTCCTTTATAAAAATCTAGGAGGAAATAAATTTTTAAATCTGATTCTCCATTTCACATATCCTGACTTATTTGAAGATGCATTGAAACATAGAGACCATATTAGCATTTGCTGTGGGCCATTCTGTGCAAGATAAAGTGCTCCAGATATTTTGTTAAATGTTTTGTCTTATTTTATCAAAAATCCCCTTCTCCGTAGCAAACACTTTGGGAGATACTGAACCACAGTGTGCCCTCTCTACTCCTCTTTGCTCTGAAAACATAGTATGTTGCACTTTCCAGTAGAGAGGAGGAAGTAGCAGGGACTTTTACAGTCAGTGGTGGCATCTACAGAGAGGCAGCTTTAATTAGCTGTTTTTTCCTGATTCCTGCTGCTATGAAAACTCCTCCTTATCCTTCAAAACCCAGCTCAAATGTCTCTACTCTGAGGTGCTATCTCCAACCTCCCAGGTTAGTTGGTTCCTTTTATAAGTTTCCACAATTTATTTGTATAGTGGTGTTATCTCTTAGGTAGGAGATGGTTGAAACCATTACATTTGTTGCAAATTGTGTACAGTCACAATTTTTTGGGGGGGGGGGACAGCTTAAGAAGTTTCCCCTTTGGAGATCTATATACTTTTTTCCATTAAGTTGTCAGCCTATTCTCTTTGTTTTTGAAATATCGTGTTCCTTCAGTTAAGTTTGAGTTGAGGCAATTGGCATGTATTTTAGGTCCCTGTTTTAGGAAAATTTTTAAATTACAGTGAGATCAACTAAGTAAAGGGTAGATTGTCAACTCCCTTCTCTAGCTCCCTCCGGGGCATATGCTGATTGAGTGGAAGGGTAGGTAGAACCTTCCTTTAGCATTCTGGCTCTCTCACTTTCACCGCTTGAATTTTGAATGAGCCTTGAGGATGCAGCTCCCCTTTACCTTAAAGGCTCTTTGCACTCGCCCTTTAAACAAGTCATTGTTACTTGTTTACCCCTCTCCCTCCCCTCCCTCAGAGTGGAGACCTTTGTTTTGCTATCTGCGAGTTGAAGGAATGAATGGACTTGGGGAATGAATGGATGCCCAGATGGGAAAAGGTTCTTCTGATCGGTGAGGATTCTTTTTCTCTCTGCTCCTCAGGGCCGCCCCATAACTCCGGTGTACACCGTGGCTCCAAACCTTCAGAGAATCCCCGCTGCCGGGATCTACGGGGCCAGCTACGTCCCGTTTGCTGCTCCGGCCACCGCCACGATCGCCACACTACAGAAGAACGCGGCGGCCGCGGCCGTCTACGGGGGCTACGCGGGCTACATACCTCAGGCCTTCCCCGCCGCTGCTATCCAGGTCCCCATCCACGACGTCTACCAGACGTACTGAGCCCGGGGACCGGGCCGCCCGCCGAAGGAACACTTGACTATTTATGAAGAAGGAACGTGGGGGATCAGCACACACACGAAACCCGAAAGTGACGAAAGGAATCAGATACCATACTGAAATATTTTATACACATGAAGTTTTTGCTAGTTTTTTAAGACTATTTTCAATGTAGCAGGCCTGTGTTCATACCTTCTAAGAGACTTGCGACGGTCTGTGCCTTAATACCATCTCTTAAAAATTTGTATGCTGTAGTACGTTTGTATAGAGGTTTTTGTTTTTGTATTTTTAAGGATATATTTTCAGTATGAAGGTTATTTTCTTAACTTCTGCACTCCAGAGATTTCTATTTTGTAGTACCCTCAATAATATATCAGCTATATATGAAAAAGCACATTGAGCAGCTAGGGAACTATTTTGAAAAATATATTCAATATTTAAAGATACAGACAATAGTGCTTTAAAACTACTACATGAAATGTTATTTTAAAAATTATACTGGAAAGTGCAATTTTAAAATGAGTAAAACCTCTATTTTTGCTGGCATTAAGGGTTACCATGTGTTATCCATGATGGTTCTATTTTTTTAAAGAAATTAAACACTCAGTCTCTCCTTAAGCCAACACTGAAAAGACTTGTCACACTTCTGAGTCCAAACACTGGAACGCTCTCACCTGCCACCATTACCCTGGGCCCCCGCTCATTCTCTGTGTGTCTCTGCTCTTAAACTTAATGTTTCCTCCTCACGCCCCTACTCATCCCTTCCTTCATTCCCCAGCCCCGCCTCCCTGTGTGGCAAGTCTAGAGCAGGTGGATTACTCTGATAGAGAAAACGTTGATGGCTTTTATATTTCTTCTTGGGTTTTTGTTGGGGTTTTTTTGGTTTGGTTTGGGACGTATTTTCAATAGCACAGTTTGTGTAAGCACAACATTTTAATAGTTTTCATAAGACATCTTTGCCATAGCTATTTAATTGCCCGATATAAAACTTCAGTTTCTTTTCTAATGCTTTTATTCATTTGTGAAGTATGAGTTCATAGAGACGATGAATGTTATTGTAGCAAGGCCCCCAGAGACTCTTGTTGCAGAAAGTGATGCTTCTAGTTGCCTTATCATGTTTCATACAAAATGCCTGTGGTCGCCAGTTGGTGTTAGAAATATTATATCTATTGAGCAGGGCTTTCCTCCATTGCTGTGTATGAGGCAGGTGAACTTAATTGGGGCCATGCACATCCAGGAGGAGGGGAGACCTGCAGCAGTTGAGAGAGTTTGTAAATACCTCCTAATGCTCATTTTAGTTGTATGTGTTTTTATGTTGCAGAAGTTCATGGTATATAGTTTAATGCAAAAGGAAACCATTTTATTTCAATGTTATTAAAAGCTTTGTTTTATTAGGAAGTAAATATGTTGTTGCAGTGTTTTGTGCCGGCTTTTAAAGGCTTTTGTTTAGCAGAGTGAATGTAAAATACAGTAAAATATTAAGATTGTCACCTACTTTATGAAATACAGCAACTTGGAATTTTTTAAAGGCTCTATCAAGGAAATGAGGTGTGCAATAGATAGCAAGTAACAGTTGTGTTTCTATGTAATATTAGAGACCCATGAAGTCTTTCCACTTGCTGAATTTTTGCTGATGGCTGAATTCTTATTTGTGGATTAATACTAGGATCATGCCTCTAGCAGATATTTTAGTTTTGTTTAAAATTTTTAAATTAAGAGATTCCCAAATGCCTCCCTGCACCCCAATTTAGGGTGGGATGAATTTTTTATATATAAGCAATATTTATTTATTGTGTAAAATTATTGAGTGCCTGCAAAGGCCTTTAAACATTCCTAGCATTTCTTCCCATCATCCTGAAATGACATAAAGTAATTGTGCAATGTCCCTGATGATGTACCCAGCAAGCTGCATCCAGACCCCAGCCTGCTGGAATGAGTCTTCCAGCGAAGTGCAGTTTGGAGCAGGCCCTCACCCCTTGAGTCTGGGTGAAAGAAGTGGTCCCCTTTCAGCATCGGGTTGGCACAGAGGTTCACTGGATGAGACTCTGAACCCGTGGTCTTACTGTATTTTACATGTGCGTGTACATTATTTGGTGGGGGAGGGGGAGAGTAATAAAAAGAAAGGAAAAAAATGATATCTTAACGTGGCAAATACCAAACTACCTTAAAAACAAATGTTGGTGACGGCCAATTAAGTATCAGTGAGCCTCTTAGCTGTTTCAAACCCATTTCACATACACTACTGAGGTAAGTTTATAACTGGAAATGTGAACTTTTTTTTTTTTTTTTTAGGGTTAAGAACAAACTAGAAATGTTTTTAAAAAAAAGCTTTAGAGTTCTCTGTTTTCAAACATGCTAGCAGTTTAGCTCTCTTCGGTTGCTTTGTATTTGAAAAGCTTTTATTTAGATCTTGCTCCATTTACAATACATTCTTAGGATGTATGTAGTAAATAAAGCTTTCTTTAAAGCAATTTCAAGGCCTTATTCTAAATTGTGTTTTCTTTATACTGATTTTTTTTTTCCTAACAAAATTTGAAAAACCCTCAACAGCATAGAAGGAATAAACTAATTCAGTACTTTCAGCTGGAGAAACCAGCAGGCTTCTGTCATGTGTTTTGGTTTGGAATTACCGCTGAAGATGGGGTACATAGTAAAAATTGTGAATTATTACTGTTTCCAACTTGAGCTCGGATGGTTGAAGGTTGAACACTCGGGTACTACTCAGCATCTGGATTGGATTAGGATGTGGCAGAGCCTATCACGACTGTCACTATTCAAGTTTGTTTATGATCCAAACAGCTTTACACCCAACTCTAAATGGAGGCCTTTGATGTGACACTGAGTTGTTTGGTGGTTTCGTGAAAGGGCTGGGTAACCTGCGTGCCCGTCGCTACATTGGAACCAAAGCCACTGTGTTTCCTTTTCACGGTGCACTGCAGGGTTAACAACTCCTCCCCTTTTCTCTCAGGTTCCTCACGGCTTCGCACAGTGTCCACCAGCAAAGCCAGTCAGATTCAAGGGACAGTGATGGGTTGTCAATAGAATTACTTCTAAGAATTGCCCCACGTGGGTTTGCCATTGATCAAGAATCTTACCTTAGTCCTGAGCTGCCTGAGTTATGGCGTCAGATCCACATTCCTAGGAATATTAACTTCTTGTTTCTCTTAAAAAGATAAAGACCTTTTTAGAGGGAGAAGAGGCTGGGAAACTTTCCCAGAGGACAGATCATTAGGCAGTATTTTCAAGGGCAACAAGATCTGCTGATTCCTTCTTGTCCTGGAAGAAGAGTACAGATGCCCTTTAAGTTGCAGAGTCACGGGAGTTTTATTGATCTCACTAGAAAAAGAATTAACAATCATACAAAATGTGTATTGAGAGAATAAATAAAATAAATCCCAGCCAGCTTGGCTCAGCGGTTAAGCATCAACCTAGGATCCAGGAGATGGGGGTTTGATTCCCGGTCAGGGCGCATGCCCGGGTTGCGGGCTCGATCCCCAGCAGGGGGCGTGCAGGAGGCAGCCGGTCAATGACTGTCATTGATGTTTCTGTCTCCCTCTCTCTGAAATAAAAATATATTTTAAAAAATACAAAAAACTGATGTGTCGTGGGCACTGAACAAATACTTCCCTTCTTTATAGACTGTAGTGCGACTGTTGTGCTGTGGTAACTCCATTAAGCCTTTTAATCGAATGCCTTTTTCTTCCTTTTCGTTTGTTGAGTGCCAGCTGTGTGCCCGCACAGCGTGAGGCACCGGAGAGGCAGTGATCCACAAAACTGACCTCTGCCCTCCAGAAACAACCAGACATGACAAGACGATGTAAGCTGTGAAATGCTAGGGGACACCCACACAGGCTTGGCCAAGGGGTGAAGAAAGACTTGGGGAAGAAGTGGCATCTGAGCATGTAACCTACAGGATGGGTGGAGTTAGGGCAGATGAGAGGGAAAAAGAAGGAACAAGGTGCCACGTCCAGAAGAAAACACGTGGTATATTCAAATACCTGAAAGAAGTAGGGCTGCCTGGAAGAAGGGAGAGGGTGTGGAGTGAAAAAACTCAACCTTTGTTTGGTTCAATATTAAACATGGTTCATGACCTGTGCTAACTGTGGAAGAAAGAGAATTGGTCCCTATAACAGGGAAGTGGGAAGAGCCCTAAATCATTTCTTTCTCTTTAGGACTTTGAGTTTCTTTCAGAAAATGGTGGAGCTCAGCACTTAACTGCAGAAGCTGAGGGATTGTCTGGCAGTCAACAGCATGGTGCGTCTGAGTGCGCCCCCTAGTGGGCAACGCCCTCCCTTCGGCTTTCCAGGCCCCAGGTGATGCCAGCGACCCTGATCTGGTGAGAGAGTTTGTAGGGACAGCTGAGGCTCTTAGGGTTTCCCACACTTTCCTTCCTTTAGATCCAGGTTGCAGCCTCTGGCGTGATTTAGCAGCTACACATGTTGGCCAGGGTGTTCCCACACTCCCTCTGGGAGCCCTACAGGAATGCAGACTTCTCAGCAAAGGTGATGGGGGCCTATAGTCTTCCAAATGACTCTGAGGACAGAGGGTCCCAAGTAAAATCTTCAGAGGTGCACTGGCTTCCTCAGTGGGATTATATTCCTTCAACTCCATTCCACACTCAAGCAACACCAAACCCTACATTTGCAAGAAATATGACCTTTCCTGAGCTAATTTTTAGCTACCCTTTCTTGGCTTGCTCTACTTTGTTTGTCAAAAATCTTCATTACTGATTAACCAACCACGAGATTTAAATAGTCCTTAGTCATTCTGAGACAGGTAAGACAAGTTGCTGAAGCTCAGTTGTTTCTGAGATGACCTTGCTGGAGGTGCTGGGTCAAGGCATTTTGAGCTTATGGAATTATGATAACACTGGGCCATGCAAATTTGGTTTTGCTGGGATTTTTCTCTCCTTTTCCAGAACCTTTATTCCAAAGAGCAGTGGCACCAGGGAATGGGTTTTCTATTAGACTCACCCCCACTCCAATTCAAATACAGTCTTGTGACACTTTCTCAATCTTATATAAAGTGCTATGCAAACTTAGCTCCCTGAGAGGCCCCTGAGCTCCCTTTTCCGAATGAGAAGCTCCCCTAAGAAGAGAGATTCTGGAAATGCAATTGATTCTAAACGTGCTCTAACGTTTATGGAAGGAAGTGTTCTGAGCATAACAGACAATACCAAAAATAACTCCAGAGCTAAGGATGTGGGTGAGGGGTGATTATAATCCATCCACCCATTTTGTAAGGACTTAAAGTCATTTGTTTGTTCTAGAAGTTACACTGACCTCCTAAAAGAGTCACTTTACCATAAAGGTCATTGGAAAGGAGAGGGGGGGAAATCATTCATGGCAGAACATGGGGTGCAAAGCCTGGCTTCCAAATCTCTTGCATTCTAATGTCCCTTTTATTAAACTTTGCTCTCAGGAAAGGAAGGACTGAACTAATTCACACAGAGGTGTGTTATGTGGTTTTCACTAAGCCACTTATTCAATAAAGTGAGGAATACAGCCCTAATTTTGGAATGTAAGGTCATAGCCAGTCAAGTAAAGAGAATTGCTTCCAGGTTCAGGAGCTCTACCTGCCCATGACATTGTACCACAAAAGCAGCCCAGTGCAGGGAGCTCAGCTTAGGAATTCTGAGTTGCCAGGGGCCAAATAATTAGACTCTCTGGAGAGAACTGAACAGTGTTAAAGACCAGTGTCCCAAATATGAGACATACTGAGTAAAATGCTGGAAAGACACTCTTACCAAGGAACTTCCCTTACTCTACATTAATATCATTAGCTTACCTTCGAATAGATTTCACTGTCCCCCAAAGGCTTTCTTCATGTCTCTCTCACTTGAGTCTCGTGACAATCCTTAAGATAATTACGAAACACCCTTCTTGAGCTTTTCCTCCTCTTCATTTATCCATTCCTTTATTCAACACAGGTTTTTCTGAGCTGCTACGGTGTGTCCGCTGATAGCAGGCTAGGCAAAGGGGTTAGAGAGAGCATGGACTCGAGAGGGTTAAAATCAATAAATGCTGGTGACCAGTTGGTGATGGAGCGAAGGGAAATGAACACTCCTGAATGTCTGGCCTGGGTAACTGGGTGGATAACGATGCTACTTTGTATAAGCTAATATCATATATCACTGTGCTAAGCATTTTACATGAATCGACCCATTTAATCCTCTTATCTCCAGGAGATAATATTGTTCTCATCCCCATTTTATAGACAAGGAACCTGAGGCACAGAGAGGGTAAACAAGTTGCCCAAGGTCACACAACGAGGAAGTTACAGAATCAGGATTTAGACTCAGGCAGTCTGAGTACAGAACCCACATCCTTAACCAGTATCAATGGCTTGCAGTTTACTGAAATGAAGAGTACAGAGGGACTCATAAATTTGGTTGAGCATAGGACAAGACCAGTTTGGGACATGTTGAGCTTGAGATGCCTGTAGAGGATTCAGGCAAAGTCCAGAAGGTAGCTGGATATATGGGGGTAGGGGGCTGAAACTATGGGTTTTAGAAGTATGGCCCTTCATAGAAAAATACTACTTTTGGAAAATTTCAAAGGATGTGTTTTTCACTTGCCTTAAATCATGGTGTTCTGGCACTCCCAGGACCTGGGACCAATAGGATTCAGTGCTTCAGGGGAGAGTGGGATGTCAGCCAGAAGTCCAAGCCACCCCTCAGCTTTGACTATCGGTTTCTTTTCAGTCCATTGCGAAACAGTGGTTTTGAAAGTCATATCAAAAGAGAAGCAGAATTTCTGTCCTGACTGGGTAGCTCAGTTGGTTTGAGCATTGTCCCGCTACACCAAGGTTGCGGGTTCAATTCCTGGGCAGAGCATATACAGGAAGCCAACCAGTGAATGCATAGATAAATGGAACAAGTCTATGTTTCTCTCTCTCTCTCTCTCTCTCTCTCTCCCATCAATTAAAAAAAAAAAAAGACAATTTCTGAGTTGTGGCAGCTCCCTTTTTAAGGGCTAGTCCTGTCCAGTCAGAGCACTGAGCATTGTGATTGTTCAGCTGAGAGCACACAGGTATCAGGTAACACTCACTGTGACTGGTCAGCATCCGTTCTGACTGGTGGCTTCTGTGTCATGACCACCCATCAGGAAGGGAGAGGGGGAAGCAACATCAAGGAGAAAGGAGGTCAGTGGCAAAACCCAGTCCAGTGTCAAAAAACCTTGACTAGCGGGTGAGCATGGATTTTAAAAATATATTGGTGCAGAGGAGCAGGATGAGATAAGTGTTCAAAGAGAGTCAAAGAAAACTGTAGCCAGTGCTGTGCTTTCCTGTGGCATCCAACATGCACAGGGAGGCGAATGACTAGACAGGTGGGCGTGAGACAGTGCAGCTGGCTCTGGGCTGGCCACGATCTTATGAGGATTTGTTCCCATATGGCCCCCCAACCCCCCCCCATGCCCCAGCTGCCCAGTCGGAAAGGTAACGCAACCAGGGTGACCCACAGCAAAGGTTG